AATTCAGAATGACTGGTGGGCAAAGGCCAAAATCTGTAGGAGGAACAAAATATAAATGCTTTCAGTAATTCTAAGGTCTATTTTTTCTTTATATAGCTACATAGAATATCTATTTCATCTATATATGATCTAATTCTTATTTAAATGAGATCTGAATCACCACGCTTATCTGTGGAATAGCGTAATAGCTACTTAGTTTTCTCTCATCTGTCTTCCCTTTTCCTTCCAAAGCAATTCCTGCTATGATATCTGGGAAATTATACATATGGTAACTACTGTTGTCAGCAACAAATTTTATTTACAGCTTCTCAAGACAGCATAAACCAACACTCTCTGAACACTTCTGAAATGGAGTATTTCCTGTGGAAGCCTCCAGCGCTGGCTAGAACCATAATTCTCAGTAACATGTAAAAGCAATGCTAGCATCACGGGCAGATGCAACTGCTATCGGCTATGGGTACAGGACCGTGCTGAGTGTAGGCTCTGCACAGCCTCTCCCTCCCATGAGGTCTGCGATGAGTGTCCATCCTGATGGCTGCATGCTCTTCTTACCTTTCTATGGCAACCACACTGGAAGCTGAATTACTTAAATTAACAGAGCTTGCTCTGCTGAAAAGAATGCAAGATGGAACAGCCTTAAAAGGATTAATCTCTTTGGTTTTTAGCTCTACCTCATGTCCTTTCCTTAAACCTCTTTTTACACAAAGCCTCATCTGGGACATTTCTTACAACAGCAAACAGTGACAGCATAGCCAGTCTGGTCAGAAGCATAAGAAACAGTCACATCTCTATCTGATTAAATATAAAGACAAAGAGTCATTACAAACAAACTTCCTACTTTTGCCTTTGTTGTACTGCTGGAGGTGTGCTAACATGACATAAGTGTACTTTCTAGATGACCTGCTGTCACCCTTGTGATGTAGGTAGAGATGAATTTCGATCATAGGGTAGACATTAGGTCACAACTGCCTTTCTATCACAAATAAACCTGAGAAAGTTTTTAAAAAAACCAAACCAAAACACTGACTGCAGCACTTAGAATGTAGTTATCATAGTACACAGAACATACTTCTCAGTATCAGTCAGTTCAGAAGAGCATAGTTTTGGCCATACGCTACTGGAACAAGTCCCAAGGAGTTAGCTATCCAGGTGCACTGGCCTCCATCTCCTCCACCTCAGTGCCACTTGTCTGTCACACCACAGACCACGCAGCACCATCGCTAGGGCAGTCCCAAGCACAGCAGCTTCACTGAGCACGTGGACAGTGACCGCCATGCAGACAAGCTGCTGACCTGATTCTACCTGCAAGCGTTCGGTCTCCCTGGGGAGCAGACTGCTGCTGCCACCACCCTGCATGGGCACCTGCTCCTTGCCACGATGAGCTCACAGGGTGTGAGCAGGATTAACTGTTCAGTACTAAATAAGGGGAGATCGGTGGCAACTGAGATTAGTTTTGCCTTTCCTAATAGCTCATGATGCCAGAGCAGCTTCATCATGTTTAAATTAGTATTTTAGTAAAATTCTGACCACTTTACTAGCATGTAATTCTTGTAATTCTATCCTCTCTGCCTTGTGTAATTTCCGGTGATTACTATTTTGCTATAAGGTCTCATTTTCTTCTGATTAAATGAAAAATTGGTGAGACAGACTGAACTAGGTGAACTGTCAAACACCTAGAAGACTTTTCTGCATAAAAGTATTCCCAAAATAAGCATTTCTCTAAGAGAAGACTTGACAAACAACCAGAACAATAAAATTCTTGAACACTACCCAATTGACGGGAGTCTTTTCAGGGCTAATTTACGTAATTTGACATAATTACACTTATAAACACTTGAAGAAGCGTTGGAAGGAAGAATGTACTGAAGCCTACATTTTACTGGGTCTCGTTGCATTTGGCAGCTGTACAAAACTGTGGTGCATGGAAATTTGCTCGGATGGATCCTGATTATACAAACACATAATACAAGCTTTGAATGCTCAGTGCAAGTTTGTCCTGTACAGAAAGATACCACAAAGTCTCCCAAGACCTCTGTCCAGTCAGCCCACATGATGTATCATGAAAACAGTTTGAGGTACTGCTGGTGGTTCCCTCCATATGAATGCCCATTAAAGCACTATTTTGTCCACAAGGTAGCAGTGGACAGCTGAGTGCCTGACTCCAGCTGCCTGCAACTGAAGGTAGCTGCATAACTTAAAATTTTAGAACCAAGCAAAAAGACACGTATTTTAAAAATCAAGTTATATTATATATATATATTTTTATACACACACATGCGCGTGCTTCTAATTAAAGATGCAAATTGAGAATTAAATAATTCTGTAATAGATCTACAGAAGCAAGCCCACTCACTGAGGATGACCCCTATTTTCTACTTTTGTCATAAGGGCTTATCTCATCATTACATTTCAACAATGCAATAAAGGAGGAAAATGTTATCTGAAGAATCCTTTTCCCAAAAAGCTGTACAGTCTCCTGCCAACCAGACTGAAGTCCGCGTCCCATCACAGACTATCATGGTGCCTCTCAGAGTATAGTGTGTTTTGCAGAAAACTGAGAAAGTTTCCTCATTCAAATTTCAAGAGACAAGTCTGGTGTGCAGGGCAAATACTGATTTTTTGTGCTGGTAAGGGAAATCTAGTGCAATTGGTTTATCCTGCTCTGGTTGGTAAGTCTTGTTCCCATTCCCTTTCTGAGACAATTCTTTACTTGCTCTGTTGTATTTTTGATTATCTGTATTATCAGACATTCCAGTTGAATGGTGAGAGAACCCAGAGAAGTAAAAGCATCCTTGCAGCATACTTGGGAAGGAGAGTGGTATGGAAAGCTATGGCCAGCATCTACATTTTAATAAATATTTCACAAACTTCAAGACTACATGAGCATCAATAATTACAGTCCTGCTTATTTGCAGTAGTTCTGCTCACTGCATAATATGGAAAATAAATACCAGAGCTTTAAAAACGTAATAAAAAAGACTCTTTTCAGATAGACAGCTTCCAGTGTATTCACAGCAACACAACCTTTCACCAGACTAAACGGGAGAATTTCAAAAGGAGTTCATCAGTTGGCAAGCCTTGATTACTCTCATTAGCTTTCTTCTAGCTTACAGAATGTACAAGGGACTGTGTACCATGCTGTATATTGAGAAATAATGGCATTTTAATTGCATTGGGTATTAACAAAATCCTTCTTGAACAAAAAGCTTTTAATTATTTCATTTGTCTCTTAATTTATTATAAAGAAACAACTAATTAGCTTTCACTTCTCCTGGGCAGACGTTTCTTTGTGGAAGACAAGTACAGTTCATAGAATCTACTTTCACAGCACTGCACCTTCATTGGGAGGTAGTATTTGCAACATGGAATGGAAATACAGACAGAAAACAAATCTAAAGTAGTTAAACACCGTTTCTGAAGCTTTTAATAGTTAAATTATCAATGCATTCTACTGTTGCCCCCCAAAGCAGAAGCTAACATAATTAATCTTACAAAATAGCAGCAGTATTCTGAAGTAGAAACCATTGTCACCTAATTTTAAAATGGTACCAAAAATCAAGTGCAGAGATGGCCACAGTGAGGCCAACCCTCATGATGAGACTATTACTACAAGTTGAGAGAAGATATAGTTATAACTCTGCCCTTTAGGAGACTGAAGTGAAAGTCTTTCCAGGTTAGGGATTTAAGGTCTGCTGCTTGAGAGCTACCCTTTAAAGACAAAGATCTGGATTACTTTCAAGTATAAATACAAATTATGTTAAAAGTATGCTTTAATGATTACCGTCCAAATGCTCTCTGCACTAAGGTAAATGCTAAACTGTATTACCAGTGTCCTAAAATACACCGATCATGTCTGTTGAAGTTAAAGGAAAAAAGAAAACAACTAACAAGTTGGCAGAAAAGATATTTGCAAACCCACATGGATGATACAGAAAAATGAAATGTGGGAATAAAATTACTTTAATGGTGAGCCTCAACTCATGGGCCACAGTACGCAACTAGATTTGTAGCCTCAAAAGTGCAGAGGACCAACTGTGACCAGGACAACTCGCACTTGCTGTTCAATTTTTCACAGAAGGTAAAGCAGGTTCTTGCTTTAGGATGTACTGTAATCTCATCTGATCTATCCTAAGCAACTGACACGTCAGTACCTGACATGGTAAACTCCCAATGTCTTAACTCTTACCTCAGGAAAATCTTACCTACCCTTGAAAGACCAGATTTGACTATCTTTAGCTTCCAACTACTGGAACCTGTTTTATCTTCAGGACAACCTATGTCCCTCTGTAGAAACACTGACGTGCTTTGAGTCACCTTGCCACTTCCTCTTAGCTGAACTGAACAGCGTGACCTCCATAAGCATTATATGGCAGAGCATGTTTTCTAGCCCCAGAACTTTTGTCACTTCTTTATAGTTCTCTCTCATGTTTCTACATCAGTTATGTAGTGTGGACACTGGGCCTGGACTCAGTGTCTTATCAGCATTCTCACCACTGTGAAAACACTTCTCAGCCTTTACTTGCACTTCTTTTTCTCTCTCTCTCACACACATAAAAGCATTAGACTTTTTGAGTAAGGAACTGCAAAAGGCTGATGATGCTGTTATCATCAATGACCCACTACCCCCTTTTCTGAGTTGCTACTTCCAAAAAACAAACAAAAAGCCTTTCTGTTTTTTGTTCCTAAATAGGTTACTTTGCATTTGACTCATTTGACTTTACCAAAAATACCTTTTTTTATTTTTATTGAGGTGATTCTGTAGCAGTCACTCTGCATTAGAAACAAACAGCTTATTGTGAACTCAGATATAATACAATACAAGTTTTATAACCTCATGAGGTAGCTGACTTTGGGATCAAATATAAATATAGCTTCCTGGCTCTGTGCAAAGACAGTAAGGATAAATCTGGTTCGGTTCTGTTAGTAAACAGATTACTCACACTTCAGATACAGAAACAGAGCTTTTGAACTTTCTGAAATGTCTGCTGAGTAAGAATTACCTGAGTAAACTGCCAGTAAAGCTTCATTCTCTTGGCTTTGGCATAATTGCATTCAATGAGCCTGGGCCTGCTGTTCACATCCACCAGGCATCTGTTGTCATCATCGTCGATAGTGGGACTGAGAACACCCACATGGAGCTGCTGATTGCTTGTGTAATAAACATTCTGCAACAGGAAGCACAAACAAGATTTGTGGCCTCTACACAGAAGCAGCACTTTTACCAAAAAAGCTAATGGCAAAGATAAACATGCTGAATAGCAGTAGGCTGGCCCCATAGTGGCTTTGAAATTATTTCCTTTCACACAGGAGGCAACACAACATTTTAAAAGTTGTTCTAAATTAACGATTAATTCTTAATTGTTGCAAACAAGTCCATGTTGGTTAACTACTTAATAGGAAATACACAAACAAAACTAATTGTAGTCTCATCGTGTGCCTTTTTACTTCTCTTTCCTGTGGTCATGCACTGTGGGTCTTCAAAGAGCAAGATGTACACCCTCTAGCAGGAAGTGGTGTTAGTTTGGGTACTACCATCAACTCTGATTAGACTATTTCATCTGAGGATAACACCTAGCTGGAGACGTGAGAAAGCCAACAGCAGCACAGCAGTTCAGCAGCAAGGATCTGAATCTTTTACATGACAGATAGAAAGATAAATGAAGGTTTTCTACAAACATGCTAAAAAATGTATTTGAGGCAGCTAACTGGAATCCAGTATATACAATAAAAAGTTATTAGCAGTTGGTGACAGACAGATATATGGCAGGAGAGAGAACAGAATGGCCATGTTTCAGGCTATTTGTTCTCTTTTTATTTTGTGTATGTCGATACACACAGACACAAGAGTAAAAGGGACCAGACGCTGGCTACTTTGGATTTGTAGCAAGGGAGTGCTCTCACAGTCCTCAGTAATTACACTTATGACCAAAGGCATGAGACTATTTTATTACACAAATTCTTTCTACTCCTTTTTGACTACAAACAGGTATGTGGGAGGTTTCTCTAGAAGCAGGAAAAAGAAGGGGAAGGAAGATGAGCTTGCCAGAGTCAATAATGGCTCCTTATGAAGATAACAGTTTACATAGAAGCCCAGGAAAGTAACAGGACTACAGTGGCATTGTCTGTTTTCTAATCACAAATAGAATTTTTTTTGCTAAAATCAGACCTTTTTCTTGAGAGGACCATGAGAAAGATGAAATGGCAACATCACGCTTTGGCAGCCTTATCTGATAGGGGTAGGTGTAAGGCTTTGACAGCTCCAGTGGAATCAGAGCCGTAACAGACAGGAGCTGGACAGAAGCACCAAATTAACGTCCTCATCATCTTCCTGTACCCACTCTATCTGTCTGTAACAAAAGGGCAGCTGGAAATGATGCTGTGTGTATTTGGGAATCTTTTCTGCTCCAAAGGTTGGTGGTACTGTCTCCTGGTATCTGTTCACTGCTGTTGTAGCGTGTTTTATATGTGTGTATTCTTATTTGTACAAACTCTGATAAAATATTAATTGCAAACAGGAGAGAAAGCAGACAAAAAGGACAAACCAGGATTCAGGAGAGATTTGGGAGCGTCATGTAAAAAAAAACAACCCAAAAACTTTGAATGCTGAAAGTAGTCAATGCAGGGATTAAATACAGATCAAAACAAAGATTATGTATGTCCTCTGTTTACCCTCCTGCACCACTTCCAGGGCAGATCCGCAGCAGATGTAAACTGCCACAGTTGCACAGAAGTTAATGAAGTTGCTGTTAATGGTTTAGAATAATAAAAAGTTTGACCCATTTCATCAAGTTTCATTCTTTTCACCCCACAGAAATGCTAACAGAAATCTGAGCTGGCTGGACTTACGTGAGTCTACGCTTTAAGAGTCTGGATAGAGAAAAGTTCAGTCATGCCTTACAGGAGAAAGGTAAATAAAAGGACCTAGCAGAGCATATTTCCAAAATGGTTGGTCATTACTGGTTGAACTAAACTGTAAGAACTGTGGAAAAACTGACAAGATCACACCCCAACAGACTCCAGGCATAAATCAGATAATTAACATTCCTGTAAATAAAGCTTACGCTTTGGAAGAGTAACAAGCATTTATAATGCACTTTCTAGACAGACCAACAACAACTGTTTTAGCTATGTTTAAGATCTATCCAGATAGTTTCTTTGGAAAGAGACTAAGGTAGTGATATATAGCAAGGCAGTAAGATCAAGATGATCTTTAAAGGGGACCGTTAGGACTCATTGTTTCTACAGATGAACATTTTGTTGCAGCTCTTTTGCCTCTTACATAAAATTACTACCAGAAAAATAAGAGGCAACTTGTCAGATATTTGCATTTTTTACTACTAGAAAGTGATTTGTTAATTCTATTTTTTCAGCACATTGTCATAATAGAAAACATGGTAGAAAAAAATAAAGGATTTTTGCATTTCTTTATTTTCTTTTCTTAAAGATGGACGTCAGTCACTGAAAACAAATGAGCAGGCTTGGCTGTAACTCTGAGAAGTGCACTGTATAGCTCAGAGTTGCTTGTGCAAAATAAGTGGTGTATCTGCAAACCCTCAGGGCTGAGCTGTTTTTATTAGCTCAGTGTCCTCAGCCTTTCATAGAGTGGCCTGAAGGTAATCATTTCATCTTCCTGGATAAAGCAAGCCCAATTCATAGTGCAACTCCACCAGCTTTTTGGATGTCAAATCAGCAATGGTTCAGTCTGAGCACCTTTCTGGGCAGCAGCAGAATGATGGCTCTGGCTGGGGGAATTACCCAATTCTGTTAGTTGGCAAAACTGTACAGAAATAAAACAGTCCAATGCAATTATGCTTAGTAGGGATAATTAGCAGGTTGCTATTTATCTTTAGAGAGCTCACCTTACGTGCTAATATCACTTCATTTTTCATTGTAGAACAGTTAAAAAAGGAGGTGTGAAATCTCAGTACTGGGAAAGGCACATTTCAGCTCCTAAGTGGCATGTAAACATTAGCTCAAATTGAAAGAGACTGTGGTATGGTGGCAGTTAGTCCTTCAAACTGGGCACTTTCAGGATGTTACTTTGCTCATCAAGTAATATGGATATTATTTAATTATTCTATATATTAATTATAATACATATTCTAATATCTTATCCAGTAATACCATATCTGATTTTAGAACTGAAAACATTACACAACTTGGTAATTTGACTACTTATTTTAATTTTCCAAAATGCTTTTTGCTTTGCTTTTGTTGTTGTTTTTGTGTTGGCTTAGTTTTGGGGTGGTTTTTTACTTTACAGATGGTACACAAATTACCTTTCTGGAGGGTAAGCATCAACAAGTGCACCAGCTGTTTTGCAGTCCACTTCAGCACAAAATGGACAACTGAGGCACTTTTGTTTAGAACACTTCAAAAGATACAAGCAAAACATTTCACCAGCACGTCTGTTCCTACAATATTGCAACCTCACCATCAACTAACACAACAAGAGTGAAATTTTGCAGTAATTTAGGAAAGTAATTTTTGAACAATCACTCCAGTACTTTCTTGGAAGTCTAAATGTCTGGATATTGCACATGGACTATTAAGACATTACGGTAACTTTGGAAATTTTAGCGATAACTTGGACCTTTCACTTCTGCTACAGCAGAAAATGTCACAGCAGTCCTTGTTCAAGAGACTGGAGACTCAATAGCCAAACATTTGCTTAGTTCCCCTGAAGTCAAGGCACTTGCTGTACACTGATTTACAGCATTCATTCAAAGTTCCTTTGCATTTTCACTGAAGACGCAGCCTCAGCAAAACACAAGGTGATTTTCCCATCACCATCACATACATACTCCCTGAGGAGCTACTGAATTTCCACAGGAAAAAGTCTTGCTTGGGTGCTGGTACCATCGCACGCGATGGAAGAAAAAACGGCTCCCTTCTTCTGTAACAAAATAAGCCTCCTTACATTTCATGAGTCTGTTCTAGCCCACAGCACTTTACCATCTATTTCTTTCACCATAACAGCAGTGATGTACAACTACACCTCCTGGGCAACTGGAAAGGAGCCCCTTTGTTCAGGAAATCAGCTAGGTTTGACAAAAGGCACTTAACTTCTCAAAAAGTGAAATTATAAGGATTCAGCATTACTGTCAGTTAGAAACTCTGTAAAAAATGTAGGGAGGATTTGTGATCCACAAAGCGTCAGAGTAAACACGAGACCTGAGCCTTAGGCACTTCCACATATTCACCCACTCTCCCACCAGATGCTCTGGGAGGGCAGATGGGTGTTGTCCAGACACTGACAAGCTGGCTCTGGGGGCTGCCACTCGCTGCCTGCTTTCCCTGCCCTCAATACAGGTCCAGCTGCATTCAGTGTCCATAAGAAACTGCCCCTGGAAGCCTGGGGCTCACAGCAGATTAAAGGGATGCAAAAGAAGTTGTTCAAGACAAAACCTGGTGTTATTAATCTGAAGGTTTACAGCAAAAAAATTATTAAAGTAACAAAAGATTCATACCTGGGTGTGAAGAAAAGCCTATCGGTTGCCTTCAAAGCTTGGCATAGGTCTCTGCCACAAGGCTTCTGTTTCAGTCTCTCTTATGTTCTCAGAGAATAGCCTCCTAAGAAATCACCTTCATAACTAATCTTCCTCTGGACTGTAAAAAGTGAGGGTTTTTTTGTATAACTGCTGAGAAACTTGGGCTGCAAATTTCCTTGTGCCTCTAACCCAGTATCTTCCAACTATAATATTTTATAATAATTCTGTAGCTTTCTTGAACTTATTTTCCTAGAAGTGTCCTATCTAAGGCCACTGCTTTATCTCCTGTTTGCTCCACCTAATAATCTCTGACTATTCACATTAAGACAAAATATAAGACAAGCAAACTGAGGCTGGTATCACAACAACAAAACTAATGAAATGGTTCCCAAAATCTGCATAACACGAAGGAGTGAGATTTAGAATCACAGAATGGTTTGGGTTGGAAGGGACCTTAAAGATCATCCAGTCCAACCTCCCACCAGCCCAGGTTGCTCAAAGCCCTGTTCAGCCTGGCCTTGAACACTGCCAGGGAGGGGGCATCCACAGCTTTGCTGGGCAACCTGTGCCAGTGTCTCACCACCCTCACAGTAAAGAATTTCTTCCTAATGTCTAATCTAAATCTACACTCCTCTGGTTTAAAACCATCACCCCTTGTCCTATCACTATATGCA